TGATAATAAATTAAATTATTTTATTTTATTTTATTTTATTTTATTTAAAATTATAATTTATAATTGAGCCAATTTATTAGAAAACATAATAGGTAATACATATAAGAACCATTGATTAGAATTTAAAATGGGATAATTAATTAAGAATAACTTAATTGTAAATAAGTTTTAGAAATTGTAAATAAGTTTTAGAAATTATGGACTATAATAAAAGTAATACAGAGGATTATAATTATAGAATTAGAAAAAAATCAAGTAGAAACTTGACCAAATAAATTTATAAAATTATCCTAAAATAATATATGTAATATTATTTAAGCAACAAATTGATATTTTTTTCATTTATAAGGTTGTTATGTTTTCCAATAAATATAATATTATGCCTTTTATTTTCTATATAGAGAAAAACTACATTAGTTACATAAACACCTGAAACACAAAAGAAAAGAGTTAGTACTCAAAGATATAACAATTATTCTTTTCTAAAAGGATTTAGGAGATTTTTTACTTGTGATTTATGTGAATTACTATTAAAGGTTGGACACTTGGATGACTTGTGATTTGCGATAACCTAATCTTAAAGCAATTACTCAAAGTAAAAAAGAATATAAAATCTTTAGATAATCTTTGTATAAACCCTAAAGGACTCTGGTTTTATCTAACAAAATCCTTGTGACTCCTAAAATAATTAAATTTATTATTTTCACTGTATATATGTCTCTCAAGAAACCTAACAGTAATAACCACTAAATCTTATGCATTTGAGTTGTGTATTCGTCAAGATTAACAACTTCGATCCAAAAATTCATTCTAATTAGTCACTTCATTGATGATCTTTATACATTTTCTTTTTCACTTTATACATGACATATTCATAGCAACAAAAAAAAAAGAGCATAAAACAATATATATAAGAAAAAACAATGAAATTAGTAACTTTAAAATTAGATCTCAATGTATTTTTTCTTTTTATTCTTACTTCGTATAGAAAACAAATAATAAATGAAGGAAAAACTAAGAAGATCATACATTCCAATACAACATCTAAGTTCCCCATACAAGGATATAAAGAATATTTATGGTATACATATGCTAATTAACAACAAAAAATGAAGTATAGCTAAGATTCTTAAATCTTCCATGAAAAAGACATTGCCCAACAATTATATCCTTTAAACATTTTGGTTTAAGTTAATTATTAATTTATAATGATATATTTTTTTTATTAATTTTTATTGATGTTAACATTAAATAAGAACTGATTTATACTTGTTGTGGTTATTTATTTGAATGCATTATAATTAGTGTAGTGGATAAAAATTAGGGTTCCTATTACATCTTTATTATATTGCTTATATACTAGTAAACAATCTTAAATAAAACTAGAAAAATAATAAACAAGTTCTAATTCAAATAGAAAATAAAATCCCAATATAAAAAATAAAATAAAGAAAATCATGAACAATAATTATGGTCTTTATTTGAAAATCTTCCTGACCTTTTTATAATAATAAAACTTTAACTCTATATAGAAAGTATAACTTTCAAAATCTTCTATAAAAAATTCATCCTAATATAATTATCAGCTTAAAAATTATTCTTATTTGATTAGATTACATGCTAGACTCTTTTAAAAATCTTCAAAACCTATTTTTTTTTAAATTAAGGAAATAATACAATAAAATAATTATAAAAATAATAATAAAGAAAGTGCTCTATGTTCGTCCCCTATACTTGCAAAAAAACTCGCCCTTAGGTTAATTGTCATAAATTGAACTTGACTATGCAAAAAAAAAAAAAATAGATAATTCAAATGTAACATTGTTATAAATTTATGCATAAAGTAGCTAGCTCCAAATATTTTAAATCTAATTTTAACAAATATATATTTATGTAAACTTTTTGAATCTATACAAAACTTCTTGAGACATAAAAAATCAAGATCACATCACATGAAACCATTTTTTGAGATGATAAGAACTTTAGTTGACGTGTTTGGTTATCCTCCATAATAAATTCTTAACTACCAGTTGAATTGGTGATTTTAGAATATTTGGTTTAGACAACACATTCACATTTAATTTCTCCGTGACCCAAAACCAAACTAATCAAGTTGACTTGAAATCATTATTTTAACTGTGAACCAACCCTAAAACTTTGGTTTAACTAAAAAACAAAGTGAATATACAAAAACAGACTCAATTAAAAAAAACATGAGAAACATAAAATTCTTTGACAAAATATAAAACACAAAAAAAAAATAAAGAACACAATGAATGTTCTTTGCGAACCCAAAAAGCTTAACTCTCATCACAAACCAAATATAACAAAACTAGGGCATAAAAAAATTATAAATCATGCAAGGATCAATGATATGACACCTATTTATTTTGATTATCACTAAATCATTACTTACTTTGATTATCACTAAATCATTACGAATTGACTAGAAAAAGTTTCAATTTGAAACCAAAACTTTAAAAATAAAATTATGAAATACATGTTATTAAAGCAAAATAAATCTAGATTATTGGCTATGGGTGTCATTCAAAATGACTAATACAAAGAGAATAACCAAAATTGGTCTAAATTATGTAGCCAAAAACATTGCCCCAAAAAATATAGAAACCTCAGAAAAAACCCAAAAATGACCTCAATCCAAAAATAAAACTAGAACTAAAAAAAAAACAATCAAAACCTAGCAACTAAGGCTTTGACTTATTCCTATAATTGCTTTAAAAAACATTTTTAACCCTTCCCACTAAAATATATCATCCAAATTTCTAATTCTACACCATACAAAACTTTATAATATATTTATTTGGTTCTCAATGGTTGTAGCTTTGCTCGGAAAATCAGTTAAATATATTATGAGAATATACAAACGGATATGATGATTTTTGCTAACACAGAAAAGAAGAAAAAACAAGCATAAAAAAGAAATTTTGGCTCACACGGTGGTCAAGAATATGGTTTAGCCTTAGCCAATGTTTGATATTGTATTCCAAATAAAAGTTGGATAAAAATTAATTTATTTTAAAAAAAAATTAAGAATTTTTATGTTAATATTAAAAATAATATTTTAAAATAATATTTTATAAAATAATTATTATCACATTTATATAGATATACGAGTGATAGAAACTCATCATCCTGAAACCATAACAACAACTATAAAAAAAGAATAAAAAAAAGAAGGCAAACGGGAAAATGCAAATGTACAAGGAATGTGAATAAAGCATAACGCGTCCAAGAAAATACCATTACCACCCTTCAATTTAATTTTTTTATTAGAGAAACGGAGAATACTCCCCCATTCAACGACTACAAGAAAGACGACGGTATCACCCAACACAACAGCGTAATATAACCCGGATTTGAGTATAATTATATTCGACCGCATCTACTTTCGAGCAGCTGGTGCCATCTCTTTTGACCGCTCTT